TCGGGGCGCGCGAAACGTTGGCAGGCGCGACGCAGGTGTCGTTTGTGCTGGCAGGCGCGGTACTTAGAGGCCCTGGACCCTTGCCGAGCGCGCGCTCGGGGCGCGCGAAACGCTGGCAGGCGCGACACACGCGTCGTTTGTGCTGGCAGGTGCGGCACTTAGAGGCCCTGGACCCTTGCCGAGCGCGCGCTCGGGGCGCGCGAAACGCTGGCAGGCGCGACACAGGCGTCGTTTCTGCTGGCAGGCGCGGTGCTCAGGGGCCCTGGACCGTTGCCGCGCGCGCGCTCGGGGCGCGGGAAACGCTGGCAGGCGCGACACAGGTGTCGTTTGTGCTGGCAGGCGCGGTACTCAGGGGCCCTGGACCCTTGCCGCGCGCGCGCTCTGCACCGACCCTCCAAGTAGTACGCCGAGGACATCCGGAGCTTCCGTGGCTGGAAAGTCGACTTTTCTAGTACAAACGTAGTACGCCGCGGACACGCGGAGCTTCCGTGGCTGGAAAGTCGACTTTTTGTAGTACAGACATAGTACGCCGCGGACGCCCTGGGCGTCTGAAGACACCGCACATAGCATGGTAACGGACATCTGGGCGCCTGAAAACACCGCAAATAGCATGGTAACGGACATCTGTGCGCATGAAAACACCGCAAACAAATATCATGGTAACGGACATCTGGGCGCTTGAAAACACCGCAAATATCATGGTAACGGACATCTGGGCGCTTGAAAACACCGCAAATAGCATGGTAACGGACATCTGGGCGCTTGAAAACACCGCAAATAGCATGGTAACGGACATCTGGGCGCTTGAAAACACCGCAAATAGCATGGTAACAGACATCTGGGCGCTTGAAAACACCGCAAATAGCACGGTGACGGACGTCTGGGCGCTCGAAAACACCGCAAGTAGCATGGTAATAACGGACATCTGGGCGCTTGAAAACACCGCAAATAGCATGGTAACGGACATCTGGGCGCTTGAAAAACACCGCAAATAGCATGGTAACGGACATCTGGGCGCTTGAAAAACACCGCAAATAGCATGGTAGCGGACATCTGGGCGCATGAAAACACCGCAAATAGCATGGTAACGGACATCTGGGCGCATGAAAACACCGCAAACAAATATCATGGTAACGGACATCTGGGCGCTTGAAAACACCGCAAATATCATGGTAACGGACATCTGGGCGCTTGAAAACACCGCAAATAGCATGGTAACAGACATCTGGGCGCTTGAAAACACCGCAAATAGCATGGTAACAGACATCTGGGCGCTTGAAAACACCGCAAATAGCACGGTGACGGACGTCTGGGCGCTCGAAAACACCGCAAGTAGCATGGTAACGGACATCTGGGCGCTTGAAAACACCGCAAATAGCATGGTAACGGACATCTGGGCGCTTGAAAAACACCGCAAATAGCATGGTAACGGACATCTGGGCGCTTGAAAACACCGCAAATAGCATGGTAACGGAGTTCCGCGCGCGTGAAGACACGGAGATGTTTTTGTCTTTTCTCGTCGACAACCTCGCAAATATCGTGGGACAGGCGCGGTGCTTCGGGGCCTTGGACCCTTGCCGCGCACACACACACACACAGAGACACACACACACACACACGCACACAGAGACAAACACACACAGACACACACACACACACACACAAAGACACGGACACACACAGAGACACACACACACACACACGGAGAGATACAGACACAGACACAGCCACAGACACAGACGCAGACGCAGACAGAGACACAGACACAGACACAGACACAGACGCACACACACACACACACAGACACAGACACAGACACAGACACAGACACAGACACAGACACAGACACAGACACATACACAGACACATACACACACACACACACACACACACACGGACACACACACGGACACACACACGGACACACACACACACACACACACACACACACACGAGCAGAGACACACGGACACACGGACACACGGACACACGGACACACGGACACACGGACACACGGACACACACACGGAGACACACACACACACACACACACACACACACAGAGACACACACACATTCACACTCACACTCACCCACGCACTCACTCGCGCACCTCTCTACTCTTTCTCAATAGATAAATTTGCATGTGGGGTGATCCGGTCCTTTAATATACTATAATGGATCATTTTTTCCCCTCCCGCCCTGCCTAAGCTGCGAGGCCGTATTAGCCCACCTGCCCTCAAAGAACCAGACTAAGTGTACGTGTACGCGTCCTGCACTTAATTGTTCACCCATTAATAGATCATATCCATAAGGAATATCATTTATCTCTCTCTGCCGGTATATATATATATATCTATATTACGATCACTGCTCCTCGACTGTGTCTCGACAGCTTTAGCTGCAAGCTGTTCTTTCCTCACCTGCCCCTTCTATTTCCTCACAAGATTATGTTGCCGAAATGGCGCTGCAGGCAAAATGGGTTCTACGGCACCGGCTTGGTTTTTCCCCTGAATTTCCTGGGTTTGGGGGTTTTTCGGGTGGGCGCGGCATGCTCGCGCGCATTTCTTGCCAAGGTTCTGGTCCAGAAGGTGCAAGGCAAGCTGCCACCTCGAGTGTCACAGATACGACAGTGATACGACCATGGCCGCCTAAAACGACACCATGAACCTGCCTACGTGCAGCACGACATCTGCCACAGTCCACAATGCACCAGCTACGGCTGCATGCTATGAGCACCAGGGTCTCTAGCATGTACTCGCCCTACGACAGCACGCAAAACAAATTGAACCCTTAAGCTCCAGTCACCTCCAGTCATATTCAGCCTGGCTTCTGTGCCGAGTGATGACACCCGGCGATGCTCGTCGCAAAACTTGCAGTGTCTGACCTGATCCGAGCGAGCGCCATCCTGCAACACAAGTGGGCCAGCACTAGATGAACGTGTTTGCTCCTGTCAATGACACACACCGGTTGAACGGAGTCCTCTGAAAAAGGATTAGCCCGCGCTGCCATTGAGTGTTCCGCTGGAGCGCGTTCATGCTGGCGTTGTAGGTGGCTGCACCTGAGAGTCTCACTCCGCTGGGGGCAACTTGCGGTTCATGCCGTTCAGGGTGCGGGTGGCATGCGGGAGAATGGGGCTCAACGTGGTTATACGTGATTTACTTTTGCGTCAGGCGCGTTGAGGCTTTCCCCTAGAACCCAGAGCCTTACACGGCCTTGAGCCATGAACTTCATCATGGAAGCTTACCTGGATAAGTATGCTATATGTTATAGCATACCCTTACTTAACTGTGTCCAGAAGATCAATTCGTTAATCTTCAGAGTCCACTGCTCTCAGGAAAGGCGCCGGCGTGCTTGAAGGCTTCCGCAGACAAGAGGAATGAAATTGCTTGCGGCCAGTGGCCGCCTTGACCACAGGCGCTGATAATGGTGTTGTGGCTGACCTCATCCGGCTGGAGCGCTTCCTTGTGCATCTTCTTGATCAGACCCAACGCCGTCTGCCATGCTGACTCGCATGTGCTGAGGAGGGCATTGCAGGTCACGGTGGTCACAGGGACGCGGAGCGCAACAGAATGCAACAGAATCCCCATAGCCACCCTCCACTCGGCGGTTCGCCTGCAGGCACTGATAGCGGTACTTGTGCTTACCACATCTGGGGCAAGCCTGGCACGAAGGAGGGAAGACAGAGCTTGCTGGGCCAAGCTCCATCGCCCGGCTCTTGCATAGGCATTCAAGAGGGCGTTGAAGCTCACGAGGTTGGCCCGAACCCCTCTGTCCTGCATGGTATTGAAGAGTAGTTCTGCAAGTTGCCACTGCGTTCCCCGTGCCATCACAGAGATGACGGCAGTGAAGCTGAAAACGTTCGGCTGCAGGGCCTGTCGGTACATGCTGGAAAGAATCGAAGCTGCATCTCTCCAGCGGCCAGGGTATCTTGCAAGTGCAGCTATGCGGGCAGTGTAAGCTGCCATGGCTGTGACGTTCTGGCTCGATTTGGATGGCAGGCTTGAAGCAGCGGCATCCAGAGAGGAGTAAAAGCGCAATGAGTGAATTCGAAGATGCGCAATGCAGCCTGGACATGCAAAATCGCAAGTACTTGCGGCAAAGGACCACAACACCAAAAACTTTCGAGTCCGAAGTCCAGTTCCATGCGGGCCATGTGTCCCGCTGCCACGGGACGCAGCTGTGGCCCAAAACGTTGAATTCGCCTGAGCTTAGGGTTTTGTCAGGGCCCGTGCGGCCAGGACCAAAACGACCTGTGGCAGACTCTGCTTGACAACTTGACGGCCGAATATCTTCCGAGCGTCGGCGCCGGCAGCCTCCCCCAATTCACTGCATGAGGCGCCGCACATGGCATTCTTGCATGATCTGAGCAACAACTGGTGCTGGCAAGAGGCATACTTGTCGTGTATTTGTGGTCCTCTTGCCTACTGCTTTTGATTCAGCACTACGAATACGATAAACACGACACTACCTTAACGTGGAAAACTGCTCCTATTCCTCCTGCTCCCATACCACTGCTGCCGCTACGACTCCTACCACCAGCATCGCTGCCACATGCTACGGCTACCATCACCTCCTGCCCGAAACCGCTAAACCCTACACCGCAGCCCAGAACCAGCACCTTGATCCACAAACGTTCGCCCGCCCAGCCTGGAAGCTCCAAACAAAATTCGCGCTCTCACAACTCAGGGCACATGGTTTCCCACACAAAACAGACGAGCAGTTCAGTATTAGCATCAATGAAGTCAGTACCAAGATTAGTTTTCACATTAGTCTCTCTCTGAAAATTAATGAGTTATGAACATCAAAATATTCGTGCTAAGATGTATGCTAGCAGATTAAGAAACCGCCATACTACTCGACTTGTGCTTGCATGGCCCTGTATGGCTAAGCAGGTGGAAGGCCTAAACAATTCGTGCATTATGAGGATGGGCGGGTGGAAGAGAAAAGCCACCCCCCCCCCCCCCCCCCAAAGCTGACGCAACACTTGCCAGGAGCTCTGTTGCGAAATTGCAGGGCCACCGCGTCCGCTTTGACGTGGACGGTGATGTAGCTGCCTTTTCCTGGGCCCCGCCGACAACTCGAAGGATGCAGGGTCAAAATTTCTTAGGGTCGTTACATGGTCCCTTTAGTATGGGCCCTTAAACGGGGACCCATTATATAACCCTTATGTGCCCTGTATAACCCAAGGGCCCACGTAAGGGACCATGTTAAGGGCCCATATAGCTACCCGTAGAAATCAAAGGATGCATGCATGTACCTAGCAATACGCGCCCCTGTCGTGCAGAATGCGACCATCTGATCTCCCGCACGAACAGAAGAGCATGCCAGGGCGTGGGCCATCATCGTATGTGCCCCGCCAAGGCAGGCCCTGATGGTCAAGAGGATAAGTTGCTTGGGTTTGCCGTTCGGCCTGTCGTGTTGCTAGCTGTACGTTCGTAGCAACTGCGTAAAGGGTTCACGTAACTACAAACCCAATGCTCACCACAGTCGCGCACACTTCCTTTACTCACTGTGAAGCCCTTGCTCCAGGGCGCCCTGATGTACCCGGAGAGGCCAAGCTGTCATTGCGCGACTCCGTGTTGCGTTGAGGACAAACAATGACAAACAGCAGTAGCAAAAGCAAATAGAGCTCCAACGCACCTCCCAAAACTGAACCAATGATTTCCTGAGACTCCCTACGCATTCGCACAAAAGACTGGAGCTACATAGGCCAACACAACCAAAGTTGACAGCAATCCCCTCAAAAAGTCACCTCGACCTTTGACTCACACACGGCAAGGCTTCTGTCCAATCCACCTCTTCTTCTCTCACAAACTGCCATTTGGGGATGCCATATCGGATCCCATTATTCCCAACCCTTGAACTGTAGTTGGATGTCCCGATGGTCCCATATCTCCAACTTGCCAAGCTGATCGTGGCCTGGAGCCAAAGTTGCTTCACCACCGTCAGACCAATCAGGCTCCGCTGAGCAGGGCGTAATGCCTTCCAGGCGGCATAAGATGGTACCGACACGGCAACGACAGCTGAATAAAAAAACAACTTCGAATGTGTCGCACGCTGAAGTCTAGAGTGTGCGACGAAGCATGAAGGAGGCATCGAGTGGTGCCTGGGCCATCCGGCGAAGCTCCTCGATGATAGTCTCCAAGCCAAAGATTTGCTGCATCGGGTGGTGGCTGCCTCAACACATGACGTGCCAGTCTCTGGCATCTGAGTTTGAAGATTCGGGGCTCACTCTGAACCTATTTTGTTGGATGCTGAGTCTTCTTCGGCTCAAATCTGACACTTGATTCTGCAGGCTTCATGACTCATCCCGGAGCCATTCGGAGGAGAGCAGGCACGAAAACGGCCCGACCAGGAACTTCAGGAGGGAGGATCAGCTACATTTCTGGCAGGTTGCGCAAGATTATTAAAGGCGCCCCTTGCTTTTTCATTCTCCGGAATACCAGTCAACCTTGCTCAGGTCAGGGAACGCCACTTGCTGGACATTCTTTGGCTGGAAAAGGATTGAGCGCCAGCAAGTGGTGAACAAGGCTGGCTTGAACCCTAGATTGGACGCTAGGACGACCGCAACTTCTCAGACAACTCCCAGTCCCTGCGCAGGCGAGATAGAATTGCGCGCTCAGAGCTCTCTCTCGGCTTCTTCCTCCAGCCGTATGCACATCGTCGGACCCTCATGCGAGCTGGCCTGGTGGTCGTGGCGTCATCCACAAGGATCTCGAGTCCTCCTTCCAGCAGGCCGTCAAAGCCGGATCCAGGTTGGCGACTCCCTGGTGGAGTGAACTTGATGCAGGTGCCGAGTGGCGACTCGCGTACCTCCACTGGCGTTTTCAGACCGACCTTCTTCATGGCGGCACTGTTTTGGTTCGCACCCCTGCAGTAGTTAAACTCCACCCAGCCCCGGACCCACGCTCTTGCTCTACGCGCATTCGGGACCTCCAGGCGCCAGAGCTCGGGCCCAACCAGAGGGAGCAGCAGTTCCTCAAAGTCCGAGCCCTGGGCTCGACCAGCTACGGTGACTTCGGCCACGTCGATGCCCGTCTGCAGTGCGAAATCTACGACCACAGCCAGGGCCTCTGGAGATGTGTTTGCTTGGATGCTCTCTCCTTGCTCCTGGAAAGCTTCGGCCAGGGCGACGGCACTTCGAACGCCGCCAACCAGGGAGGACCGGAGCCCTTTGGCAGCATCCCTGACCGTCGCTGGCATCTTTGCGATAACCTGCACTGGCAGTTCCGTATCTCCGCCTGTCGGGGCCACCGTAGCCCGGATTATGTTGAGCCGTATGGGCGAAGCATTCGGGCTGCGTTCCCGCAGGGCCTTCGTGAGGTGCCGCTCGACGGTCGTAGCTGCCAGGGAGTCAGACACAAGAACGATGCGCCGCACGCTCTCCGGCGCACCCTCCAGCAAGGCTGTGAGGCCCATGCAAGCATTGGACTGCTTCGCTGGCTCTAACGTGGAGGGGCAGTGGACTGCCACGGCAACGCAGCCGACCAAGCCGTCTGCAAATTCCTGTAGGGGGCAGGCGACGCAACAACAAGCCCAGCAAAATCATAGGAGGGCTTTGTGGACTGGGCAAGTTGAGGAGTTATATCTACGGGAGGGGCTGCGGCAACACGTCTGCTTAGACTTGTCTTAGTCTTTAAACTCCTGTGCCGACAGCTCGTGCATCTGAGACAACACCAACACTTTCTCGATGACCTGCCCCATTTTCACTTGCAAGGCTTCGAGAAGGAAAGAACCGCCTGTACTGCCTTCTGGGCTTGGCAGGCACAGCAGCACCTGGGCATCCGCAGGCTTTGGCAACAGCTGATGCTGCTCCTTGTCATCTGCGGTCAAGTCGATGCCCAAAGCCTTGATGGCCTCGTCCGCCTTGCGTAGGGTCTCCTCCGCCCTCAGCGCCCGTTCCTTGTTGATGCGCACTTCCGGAGGCAGGCGCTTGTGCAAGGACTTCATGAGCTCTTCATCCGAGGGCAAGTCACCGTCGCCGCCGTTGCTGCCACAATGCACCTTGAGCCCTGGCCTGCCTCTTCCCCACACAGCGCCGAACGCAATCGCGGCCACCATGTGAGAGCTGGTGCGAGTCGAGCCAATAGGGAAACGTCCTTGCGTCTGTGACTGCGTGATTTTGTGCTCCTTGGCGCATGGCAACCATGGCAACGGTGGATGGTGCACAATCATCTTAAACTAAACTTGTTGGCTAGGGCGACCTGAGTGCCATGTCTGCGCACGGCTGGCTGAACAGGTGCGTCATGCTTGACTTGCCCGTAGGCTCCAGCAAGCCATGCTCGCTCAATGCTCAACTGGTTCCTTCGCTAGCATCCTCATGAAGCGACCGCCATGCTTCCTAACATCATGCCCTCTTGAGCAGAAAAGCCATGGGCTTATGGTCTACTTCAAGAGGAGAAAAGGTGGCGCAGGACGATGAAACTGAGAGGCCGGGCCGCACCCCTGTGGTCCCGCAAAACTCGGCCCGGCCTCGTGCCGGTGGCATTGCGGGGTCAGCGCTGCTCCCACTGGCAGTCACCTCATGCATCTTGGTTGAGATTCATTCCCCGCATCCACACTGGCATTTGGGCTCCTAGCCGGGGGCGAACTTCAGGCGTTGCGTTCGCATGTGTGACGCAATCAGATGAAGCGGGCTCGAAGATAGCCCATGATTCAAATTCAACGGAGGCCCCTCTCCCGAAGCATCCTAATGGCTGTAGGGTTTCAAGCTTCTGGTGGCTTAAGGGGACTTCGGTTTCGTGGGGCACGCTAGCTCCAACTGAGGGCTCCAAGTTGCTCAAAGCTCACGCCCTTCTGCAGATTTGCTCCCAATAAAGATGCTTCGCAGGAATGACACGTCGGAGGCCCTTTGGAACTCGCTTCTTGCATCCAGGCACTCTCCTAGAACTGCCAGCCTCAACCCTAGTTTTGTAACCCTGAACTTGGGATGCTCCCCCTTACACTAACAGTTCTTAAGAGGGATTACAGCACCCCCTGTAAACCCTTTTGGGCAACGGACTTTGGAGGCTGCCGGCAAACATGCAACTTCTTAGAAGTCACATCACGCAAAACATCACGCAAACTGTTCTATGCACCCATATCACCATGAGGAAGCCTCACTGTAAAACCCTAAACCCTAAACCCTAAACCCTAAACCCTAAACCCTAAACCCTAAACCCTAAACCCTAAACCCTAAACCCTAAACCCTAAACCCTAAACCCTACTGTTAGTACAAGGGGGGACATCCCAACCGAAAACCGTTTTTCAAGGCTGCGACCATGGGCTCCTGGGCTTCCAGGTCCACGTCTTCCTCGTGGGATAAGAGGACAGTTTAGGGTTTAGGGTTTAGGGTTTAGGGTGTAGGGTGTAGGGGCACTTGCAACGAGTGTAGGGTGCTTTGTCACCCGTCTAGCGATGCTCCACGGGGCAACTGTAGAGGGTGTAGGGTTTAGGGTGTAGGGCTTCTCGGGTTTGCTGTAGGGCCTAGCTGGGATTCGGGTTTCTGTTGCCACGGCTTGTGGGATGTATGATGTTTCGGCGGGGAAGGGGGGAAGGCAGGGATCTTGTCAGTTTAGGCCAGCTAGAGAAGGGATGTCGCGCAGTTGGTACACTAGCGATGATTCGGACACGCTGCGTGACAGGTTCTGGAGCTGGGAAGGAAGCCTCGACGTAGAACGCAAGATGGGGACTTGTGGCTAGAGAACACCAAACAGCTACAGGTTTCCCCATGCCAATGAAATCGCACACCCCCATGGCCCCATAATGCCGAGGAACTGGAGAAACACGAAACAGAAAGGAATCTTTCCACACCGTGACAGGCCATTCCTTCCAAACCGATGTGGGAGGGCTGCCTCCTCGACAGCGTTCATCTGTGCCCGCTGCTCTGTGAGGGCCTTGCTACTTACAATGGGCACGTGCGGGCGCGCAAGAGGTACAAGCAGCGGAACATGCCGTCAAGGATGCTTGGACGAAGCAGTCCACATTCTGATCTCTACAGATCCAGAGTTAAATTGTCCTCGGGGATTTGAAATATCGACAATATCCCCGCGTGAGAGCCCAGCTGGTGCCGGCGTCAAGCAGCGTCTGTCCTGCTCCGCTTCCGACTCAGGAATACTATCTTGTCAGATGGCAGAACATAGGTAGCAAACTTCAACACTGAGATATCGAGTACCCCAACAGTTGCTACTTCAGGTCCAGCTTGTGCCGGCGTTCTGGCAGCCAGAAGTACACAATATATGCCTGAGCCCGATGCAAAACGGGGTTTAGGGTTTAGGGTTAGGGCCTAGGGTTTAGGGTTAGGGTTTAGGGGTTTACGCAATGTGCAATGTACAAGCTGACACGCCCAGCCGCACAATCCCGCAAACCCTTGCTGCTCTGTGCCGCTGGCATTCAGCAGAATAAACACGACGCCTTAGCTGAGCATTGGTGCCACACTGACAGACGCAGACGATGTAGAACCTGAACAGACTGTCGGTTGGGATGTTCCCCTTGTACTCAATAGGGATTTATAATCGGAGATACTATAATCCCTGTTATGATATACTGTCATGTACTATAATATACTATAATATACTATAATATACTATAATATACTATAATATACTATAATATACTATCATATACTATCATATACTATCATATACTATCATATACTATCATATACTATCATATACTATCATATACTATAATATACTATAATATACTATCATATACTATAAAATGCTATCATATACTATATAATATACTATATAATATACTATATAGTATACTATAGTATATACTATAGTATATACTATAGTATACAATAAGATACACTATAATATACTTTAATCCCTATTAAGGACTGTTAGTAGAAGGGGGAACATCCCAAACTGCCGGCTTTGAGCAGCCGGCTCCAATGCAGAATGTCGTTGTACCAATGAAACCAGCTCGCCTGCCTGCTCAACAGGGTTTGGGGTTCAGCGTTTAGGGTTTAGGAGTGGAAGCTACGCTCCTGTCTCTGACCAGACCACACCGCACCACTAAGCTGCAACTTCAACGGCGAGTGCGCCAGTGCGGGCAAGAAGCCAGCCCACTGCCGGCGGCAAGGCAGTCACGGGCCGTCTGGGCTCCTTTTTCGGATTAGCACAGGCCCAAATAAAGACACCGTCGTATCCAATGACTTGCATGGCCGGGCAGTCGGCCCTCGGGAAGAGAAAGTCGTTGCCGGCTTTCGCCTGCAGACACAACAATCTGGAAGTGCGGATTGCACGTGGCATGTCACTTCTGAGGGCACCAGCACAGCCTCCAGGATACATGTCCACATGAAGAGCGCTTCCAGGTACTTGATGTAGTAGTAGACCTTGTCTTCTGTTTGCTTAAGCGTAGAACCCCTCCAAGAAGAAAAAAAACAAAAAAATTGGGTGCTTCTTAAGCAAATAGTAGTTTTTTTCATGGCATTAATGTGGAATCAGCACACAGCCATCCTACGATTGCAGGCCCCACCTGGTTCACGTGGTAGAAGGGGAAACCTGGGCGTACGAGTCTTGTTCCAGGTGGCCAAGGCTTCAAAGCGCGGCTTAGGGTTTAGGGTTTAGGGTTTAGGGTTTAGGGTTTGGGGTTTAGGGTTTAGGGTTTAGGGTTTTAGGGTTTTAGGGTTTTAGGGTTTTAGGGTTTTAGGGTTTGAGGGTTTTAGGGTTCAGGGTTTCGACGCTCGCTCGCGCACAAGGCAGGCAAGGCTTTCGGGTTGAGGGTTTAGGGTTCAGGGCGCTCAAGCAGTGCCTTGGCAGATTCTGGAGAGACGACAAAGGGGTCTACTGAAGTTGCACGCTTGGGCCAGGCACATGGGTCGAAGAGCACAAAGTTCACCATGAACATGGGCACAGACACCTGAGCGGTCTGAAGCCATCCTCCACCGGACATTGCGCCTGATACCCGATGGTGCGCTAATCTCGCAGAACTGGTCAAACTGGGAGTTGTTTGGCGATGTCCCAAAACAGGGGTACCTACCCTTAATAACAATATGGCACACCTATGTTCGGAAACCGCCCGTTTAGGGAACCTACCAGTCGGCTTAATGTCAACTGAGGCCGCGGCAATGAGCGAGAAAGCCAAGTTGGCCTCGACAACCCCTCTCTTGCCACATCGCTTCATACACATGGGGTTGAAATAGCAAGTTCGGCCACTACCCCCGCACATGAGACCCAGTTCCTCCTTTCCCGCAACTTACTCACTTGTGAGTTCCTGCGGACATGCAATCCCGAGCTTCCAGCCAAGTGCTGAACACTGATCCAGCTGCCCTGGCTACAGACTGTCTGCACGGTTTAGGGCTTAGGATTTAGGGTTTAGGGTTTAGGGTGCTGGTGCTGTCACTGGCTACTCTTCGGTAAGCTCCGCACTGGCGTATCGCCGCTCCAGGACGCTCTCCTAGAAGATAGCTTGGTGTACCTCGGCAGAACAGATTAGAACAGCATCATATGATAACAACAAGAGTACTAATAATACTACTACTGATAGTAATAATAGCAATAATCGTAATAATAATAGTACTAGTACTAGTACTAGTACTAGTACTAGTACTAGTAATAGTAATAGTAATAGTAGTAGTAATAGTAATAGTAATAGTAATAGTAATCGTAACAGTAGTAGTAGTAGTAGTAGTAGTAGTAATAATAATAGTAATAGTAATAGTAATAGTAATAGTAACTAGTAAAAGTAATAGTAATAGTAATAGGAATAGTAATCGTAATAGTAATTAGTAGTAATAATAATAAGACTAATACATGACACATGTTAGGCTCGCAGAAGAACACCAGGCACCACCAGCTCGCAGAACCGAAGCTGGGTTGCCAACTGAAGCAGTGCACACCTGGGGACAACTCCGACAAGTCCTAAAAATAATGATAATACTAATTAATAAGAATAATAATCATAATATATATATATACATAATCACAATACTACTTAAAGAATAAATAACAAATAATAAAGAAAAACAGTTTATATACATATATATATATACAATAACAATAATAAGAATAATCATAATAATAATGATACCGACACTCGTTAGATAATCGGCTCCCGGTTTGCATGATTGCAAACTCCGCACAAGGCCGCGGCGTAAGAGCAACGTCCACAAGGAACAGAGAAATAAAGGGTCTTTCGCCATATATGGGCCTGTACCGGGACCGAACATGCAGCATGCGCACGTCTGCATACAAGATCATACATGCACATCGCCGAAATCTTCACTGACTGGACTCTGAAAGGCCACAAGGCCCTGATCCAGCCTCAAGTAAATGCTGTATAAGAAAACGGTTGGAAGCCGCGCCAGGATCTCCACAACGTAGTGCAGGGTCACGAGCTTCTTGTTGCTGACATGAAGATGGGGCTATGCTCTGAAGATCTGTGACGATCATATTCTATGACAATATAGTCGTACAGAATAAGGCTTTAGAATGTATCACAATGGTTGCAGGGCCACTTGCTATACGACCGAAACGTCAGGACGTGATACGTCTACCCTGGGCGCACCAGTGTACAACCAACCCATTACTACTACAAAAGATGCTACGAAACAGGCCCAACTCATGCACCTCCGGACGAAGGCATCATCCACCTTGCTTTGCTTCCATGGTGCTGCTCTTTGATTGGGAGCCACAACATGAAAGTCAATGCACTGCGATACGAGCTAGGGGCACAAAAAGATCAAGGCCCCCCACCCATATGTACAGCACAAAGTCGGCGACCCCTGCGCCAAAGGCTTTTAGGGCGTTGGGCTTTTTAGGGTTTTAGGGTTTAGGGTTTAGGGTGCACAGGCGTCAAAAGGTCACCAAAGTCCAGGGCACCGGCCGAAACCCAGGGACAGAATCCCGGCGAACAAGGCCACCCCTGCCACTTCCATGTGCTGAGCTTAGGGTTTAGGGTTTAGGGTTTAGGGTTTAAGACTCCTAAAAACTTCCTGGTGCTGCAACTTCTACAAACCCGCTAGCTTCCTCACTCCTACTCAGGACGAGGAAGGGCCCAAGGGGCTGGCCAATGTTGTAGGTGCGCAGCTTTGGCCTAACAGCGTAGGCTGGAGATCTCGGAGTTGCAAGAAGTGTAGACTTGAAGAACTCTTGGCCCTCAGCAGCACCCCAAGATGAGGATAGGCTTGAACCAAGAACTCATAGTGAAACCTCAGAAGGGCTGGACATCAAGCAAGCTCCCCAAAGAGCCCAATATTGCTTAATTTAAGGAATATACCTTAAATCATATTAAGGCTCCCTATATGATTTAAGGAATATTCCTTAATTAAGCTATATTGGGGCTCTTTGGCTCTCTGTCAGGCCGAGGTCGCAGCGAAAGAGAAGCGATCGACTGTGGCATGTTGCACATGCTGAGTTTTCGGACCTGGGCAGACAATTCTTCAGCTTGCAGCCTCAGGCTCTTGGTTGCCATACATGGAGGACCGCGGAAGATGGCTATGTTCTATACTGCGCCATTGCGCAAGTCAGCTTGGCTCACACCGGCAGGGCCGCTGAGAACCACGCGCCACCTTGGCTTGTCCAAGGCTCTTCAATTCAGACTCACAGTGCTCTAAACTACTAATTCGCTTAAGAACCCCAAAAGAATAGAAAAGAATGATCCCTATATTTTTTCCGGGGTTCTTAAGCAATTCGTGGTAAAGCGTCGTACAACTAAACCTTCTGCAACTGAGCCACGCATGGCATTCTCCCCTGGACTGCCCTTGAAGGGAAAGGAGTCTTCAGGAGGTGCCTTAGCAGAAGCAAGATGATCGGCCATCGCGGCATTCGGTGCATGTCGACATGCGTGGAAGCTACGCCGCACCTACGTTTCAGAAAGCTGCAGATCAGTCCTCCCAGCGCAGGCAGAAAACGGAGAAAGCGTCGCAAGGCTGCAAGGATTAAGGTTTCGTGGTGAGATCAGGCCTTGCACACCCCAGACTTTCTCACGCTGAATCGGTATAGCGGCTAGCGTCTCGTGGCGCCCAAGTGGCAACACAAAGTCCGCTCGCAGCAAAGTGAAACGAAATGACATGGCCAAGTCGCGTCACCAAAGGACCCAGCTACAGCAGGCCAGCTACGCCCGGTTTCTTCACATATAGATTGGCTCCAAGTGCTTCCCGTGCAAGGCATCCAATGCCTTGGCTTGACATTGTAGGCTACATCCAAAAACATCCTGCACACAGGACGAATAACTGGACTTCACACCTCCTGTTGGATGTCAGGCGGGATGCTAGCATCGCAGTTTTTCGCCATCAGAACTCATTGCACAGTTTGGTTTTTTTGGAGGCTCAGAGATTGCGAAAGAGCAACCTTCATCTCAGACTCTGTGAGCTGGAAATCGAAGATCGCAGCGTCAGAGGCCTCAACTGATTCGACCACGATCGTGTGGCACTCTGACCCTATGAGCCCTTTAACCGCCAAATAATCTTGCAAAAGCGACCCTAATAAGTACCAACCACTACAGGAGGCGTCCCGAAAGGCACACCCTAATTTTGGAGCGCCCCCTCCCCCCAGCCCAGAGGGTTTAGGGTTTAGCGTTTAGGGTTTAGGCCTAGGCTTTAGGTTGCAATGAGCCCCCAGGCCTGGTGCTCGGCCGAGCTGGACTGGAAGGTCAAGAAGCGCCCATGCTGGATGATCCACTTCAGGGCAACCTGCGAGAATGGGGTTTAGGGTTTAGGGTTTTTTTCGCTCCCGCATAGCTGGCCGAACCGCAAAGCAGGGTGATGTCGATGAGACTACTGTTTCGGAAAAAGGGGGTCCACCACCGGACCTTCCGTTCTGCATGCCATTTCCCTCCTATGAAAGCCAAAACATCGCAATCAAAAACAAGCACTCAACCTCCCCTAACCCCTGGCAAGGGTTTAGGGTTTAGGGTTTAGGGGGGACCCTAAAGCCTCGGCTGTTTAGGGCCTTGTAGGGTGTGAGGGTGGTCGCAAGGTCTAGAATTTCCTATATATATATATATATACATATGGTGGAATCATGACAAAGATCGCCCAAAGCATGAGACTCGAATCTTAAAAGTTTACTCGCCGCCCCAGCCCCTACTTGTCCCCATGGTCCTGATAGGTGCTGATGTTGTGGTTGGCCGCAACTCCTTGGATGACCTTGTTGCCACCTGGGCAGGAAAAAAGGGATGCTTTGGATGCTCATCTTCCCACACACCACCCCCCAAAAAGATATTCTATATTCTAACCCTAAACCCTAAACCCTAAACCCTAACATCTTATTTTTTCACCCTAAACCCCAACATCTTATACAACTTCTTGGCTTCGAGGAGGGGCGAATGTCTCCAGAATGGCCGCTGCGACCGACTGGAGAGTACGCCTCCACGGTGATGTTCAGCGCTTCAGAGAACGCCAGGGCCTCCATGGTCCCAGAGGGCCCAATACCCCTTAAGCAACAGTTCGACAGACCTTAAGCTATCCAGGGATCCTTAATGTTGTTTAAGGTATATTCCTTGTTTAAGGGGTATTGGGCTCTTTGGGGTCGCTACTTCGGCAGCGCCAGGCTGCCCTCAAATAGGACGGAAATTTGACTCTTGGCCCTTGTGCGCGGCTTGCCCAAACCTTGATAGCGCCTCAGCATCAAACTCCAAAACGTTGAGCTCAATCTGGTTCACCTGAACTAATGAGGGCGAAGGCAATGTTACGAGCGCAAGGCTCCGTCACAACTTGGAACAAGAATGAGAACGGGGCGGCAGGTTTGACTTTTGCCGTCTCCATCAGCACCTCCTGCAACGCAGTAAAAGATCTGATCCGTTGTGTTGCATACCCGAAGAGCCCAATACCCCTGAAATAAGGAGTATACCTTAAACCATATTAAGGATCCTGAATATGATTTAAGGTATATTCCTTAACTAGGGGGATTGGGCTCTCTGGGTAGGACTGCACCGAGACTTTGAAAGTGGCTGGGACTGCGCACGTAAACGGTGAACGTGCGGATGGCACGTCCACTGGCTGTCCAGAGAAGGCTTGTCGAAGTTGCTAACACCAATGGCTCTGAGCACACCCTTGCTGTGGTAGCCCTCCAGGACCTCCCATGCCTGGAAGCAGACGTGCAGACCACGAGCAAGTGAGACATAGCATGCAAGCCCTGGCTCCTAGCAAGAAGAGGACCCACATGCGGCTCGTGCTGGTATCAGCAACTTTCTTTGGCTGCGGTTTTGTTGCGCTGTTTGGCTGGCCTTGGCACAGTCACCCTTGGGGTAGTGTATGAGCAGCAGGTCGATATAGTCCTGAGACTGACCGTCTGATTGGTTCAGGTGGTCCATCAATGCTTCATTGCTTTCATTCTAGAAAGAACATGGAGGCCTGCCAAACAGCACCTGAGAAAGCTCTTTTCAACTGTCCTGGCGTCTGCGGAACAACTTTTGTTTCAAGGTGCTGTCTTGAGCTGCTTCAAGTCGTATTCAACGCTGGCCGTAGCCAAGTCACAGCCAGGAATCCTTGGACAGGAACAGAAAAGTGCCCTGAGCTAGCGCAAGTGCGTTGTCGCGACGTACGACTTGTAAAGCAACGACCCCTCCGTTGCATAAAGTCAATGCAACGATATCAGCCGAGAACACAGGAGTAAGGAGTCGTAGAACTTATCTTTTTGCACTGACTATTAGTACCCCGCAAGAGTGAGAGTCAGACCGAAACATCAGCGCTTTGGAGATGCTCCAGTGGTAAGCAACTGGCTACGGGCTCCAGATGTCAGTTCTAATACCCAATGCCCACAGCCTTTTTGCATCCGGAGTCCTGTGGGTGATGTCCAAAACCCTACATCCTAAACCCTAAACCCTAAATCCTAAACCCTATAAACCCTAAACCCTAAATCCTAAACCCTAAACATCCCTAAACCACATATTGAGACTCTACCGGCAGCCGCGAAGCTTCGTGGTGATGAAAACATCCTTGCGGTCGATGCCGGCCTTCTGCAGCTCCTGCTGCATCGTGATTCAGTAGCCCTAAACCCTAAACCCTAAACCCTAAACCCACGATTACAGCCAGAGCCCAATCCACCACTGGGAAGCCCCTAACTCAGCACGTGTCCTCGGGAACGACATTCTGGTCCTTGTAGATCAGTGCCTTGAATTGGGGTGTTTCTCCTTATACTAGGAGTCCTTCATACAGTAGGTATTATAGTACCCTTATACTAGCAGTCCTTACTGGGGATTATAGTGCCCTTATACTAGCAGTCCTTAATAGGGACTTTAGTACCCTTATACTCACCGTCCCTAAAAGGGATTCTCGTGCCCGCTGTTATACTCCCGCATAAGGGGGACCATCCCAAGCCTTGAATGGCTATGCTGCTATGTCCCCTGGCTTTCCTGCCTGCACCTGCCCCTTCTGCACTTCTGAGGAATGGCTATGCTGCTATGTCCCTGGCTTTCCTGCCTGCACCTGCCCCTTCTGCACTTATGAGGACAACTGCAAGAACTTTCGCACACAGGTTTAGGGTTGAGGGTTTAGGGTTTAGGGTTTAGGGATTAAGGCAGTATCTAGCAGGAGGTGACGGGCTGAAGGAAGCGGTAAGCTACAAGGCCCTGCGTTCTCCGTCGAGATGTGCCAGGACCCAGGTTTTGCTATGCTAATCTGCTTGCTATACTGTACTTCTACCTTCTACAGAAGGGACCAAAGCAAGATACATTCTACACTCTGCTAAATTTCTAAACTGTACTTCTACAGTCTACAGAAGGGACCAAAGCAAGATGTGTCAAATTGATCCAAGGCCAGGAACGGTATCAATGCCTCGTCCACCAAGCTTGAGCCAGTTGGACACAATGGCGGACGCATTGGCGGTCTCCAATCCACCAATGCCTGCAAGGTGAATTCATGGTGTGTTCGATTTTCGGTCACCTTTTTTTGGCACAGTGTCTATCACCCGTGATGGCATGGTGATGCATGGCACTGGGTTCCACCCGCACCTATTGACATCACCGGCATCTGCACGCCAGCGGCGATTTCACGCGTAGGCACATGCACTGTCGCATGTGCGAAAACTGCCGACAAGCTGAGCGCGGCAAAACGCGCAAGCATGGCTATCTGGGGAAACCACAAGCAAGCAGCCGGGCTATACTGAAAGAAACAGCTGCAGACGTAGTAATGTGCCTTTTGAGGGGCTTAAGACATTCAAGAGCTGAGTCAGTTTTACCTAACATGAGAGCTCCCCGGCCCATTGTGGCCTAACAGTGCCACAGACTACCAATCGTGAAAAATAGTCAAGCCAGACCTTGGCAAATGTTTATGAAGGCTAAGAGGTTTGTAGGTGGTTGTGGATTTATCCACGGTGATAAACAAGCAGCAACAACACCTGCACTGCAATCGTTTAGAACCGAACACAACCTAATGCATCCAACCGATGCTGGTTTCCGTGTCTGAGTCGCACATCTTCAAAAGAGAGCACATAACTTGCTTGCACTTTGTCTCTTTCTTGCACTTTGTCTCTTTCTCACTCTGTCAGAAAACGGGAAGGTTCACTCGCCAGCACCAGAGTTGTTCAGAAACTCAGGCCTGAAGAGAAGTATATATGATTTAGTAGGATGTATTTCTATATATGTGGTTGTAGCACAACAGAAGGGACACCGAAAAGAGCAAGGACATTGGAAGGCTCGAATGACGTCAAAAAATGAGAAAAAAACGTTGGAAGCAGCAATGGAAAACCAGCAAGAAAGAATACATACACATGCAAGATGAGACTTTGTGAAAAAACACTTTATGATTGGCATGTACTACAAATGCCTACCGCAACTGCCGACTTCTCGGGCGTGGCGCATTTCTGATTGGCAGCAACGGCTGCAAACCAGCAGCACCTGGCAATGGATCCGAGTGACTCAGAAACGGCTGAGATTCGAAGAGGGCTCATAGCATCCAAAAGGCTGTAGTTGCTGACATGGCAACGGGTCTCCTGGAAACCACCGGCATCTACAAATCTCTCGTGGCCTCGATATTTCACTTGCGGACGGCCCGCAGACAACACCTCGCAAGCACGTTGGAGCAAGGCACCGGCCACCAAGAATCGCATCGACCTGTGCACACGGCGCAGCAGGCACTTTTGTGCCTTGTCGAGCGTCTCCCACAAAGGAGCCACCTGCGTCTGACAGCAAGAACTGACCAGGTTACGCTCACCCACTTTGGAAGACGGCAAACAGGTTGCCCTTTCCAACTTTCTACCGTTCTAGTTACATTGGGGTGGTCAGGGCCGTCAGCGGCCACGCTTCATCCAAGCTTCCGGAGTCCGGCCTGCAGAAAAGAAGTCAAGGCCTTGGCAGCACGCGCAAAGCTTCTTCAAAGGCAAGCGCTCCACGTCACTCTTGCTGCCTGTATGGTCCTAGATGCGAAACGCCATGCAACTCCCTGTCTTGCTCCTTTTCTCTTCTCGCAACCCTGGTCCTTCACGTCCGCGGCGTCCTCGCTCTGATCTGAACTCGGCGGAGCCCGGGTGGGCTCCGCATCTTGTTCTGCTCTTGTTCGGCTTTGGGCAGCTTATCAACTATGCTCACCTCATGTACACCTCAGAGCTCACTGTGAGATTCTCGTCTGGCGAGGTACCTTGTCGGGTGTCACATGCCAGCTTTTTTGCGGACGTTGCCCAAACCGTCCCAGACCCTCGCCTCTCCGCAAAGTCGACCTCCGTCTTGTGCACGCCCTTCTTTCTCCTGCGTCTCTCTGACGCTTCTGAAGTGGGTTGCAGGGCTAGGCTGCATGTTGCCTCGGGTGCCTCGATCCTTCTCTGCTGCCTCCCCCTACGTCAAAAGCGCAGGACAGCGCAGTTACTGGGCAGGACTCCCAACTGATGGGTCTGTTGATGTCCCGAGTGCCGCAACCTGCGGCCAGACGACCGTCCCACAGAAACACATGATCCCAGGCGGAGCGATTGGGTCCTTGTGGCCGCAAATCGTGCATGTACCTTGGCAGCTGGTCCACCACAGCTTTTGGCACCGAACACAAAAGATGCAAGTTCTAATCTATGACATCCGACGAAGGTGGAGCCATCTCCATCCTTTAAAGTCCGAACTGCGCGTGGGTAGAACACAAATCTCTGAATATCATGGGCTACTGCAGATGATATCAGGGATGTGCGCTTGCGGCGCTGCGGGCCCTAAGATTCGATGCGCCACGGGAGCACCACAAGTGAGAGCCCAAGGGTGCTAAAATCCAAGCCTTTGGGTACCAGGACTGCGAACCCAAAACAATGAGGCACAACTGGCGCGAAAGACCTTGCCGGCGTTCTTTCCTAGTCCGCCGCTTGCGCAAATCGCGACGAGAATTCGCTGTGATAATAATGGCTTAGGCAATTTCTTGGCATAAGACATTCAACAGGATCACGATGGACATGAAGTAGAATGAAACCAACCTACCTGAATGCTGCCTCGTTTATGTGCGGGGGAGACACAGCACCGAAGGGCCTGTGTAGAAGGGTCCTACATGGCTTGCTCGAAGTTGCGACAGTCAGGTTTAAGGTTCCGGCCACATGCCACTGGAGCATAGCTTGCAGCAGCTCGTGCTCAGAGACCTGCCCATCTGGCCTGAAGGCAGGGAAGGTCGAATGGTTCAGTGAAGAATGGGGTGAGGCTCAAGGACAACGGTAAGTTTCAGCACGGAAAGTGGGAACAAACCCTCCTCAGACCTAACGCAGCCAGAAAACGGGCAGCAGTCCAAGTAAGCCAGCATGTCCTCGCAGTTGTCCCCAGGCACTTGGGGCTTCTTCGGTGACCGGCTGGTGCGCAAGGGAATCCGGGATAGCGACCCAAACCCTAAACCCTCAACCCTAAACCCACGTTCAGTCCTCCCCCCGGAAGCGAAGCAACTCGGCCTCCATTTCTTGCCGAACCTGCCTGCTTTAGCAGTCAAATTTTACGGCCCTACATTGGGTGGCTCTTTCTGTAAGAGCGGTTGATGCAGCTGTTGCGCTGTGGCTCTTGAAGTCTGAAGAGTGGAGAGTCGGCAGCCCAATAGCATGAAAAATGGCACTCTGAAGGTGGGTCGCCTGCCATCCTCATCTGCCGCAGGTCGCCAATCGTAGAAGTAGTCCTTGCAGGTGTTCCTGAAGAATGTGTGGGCTAACATAAACTACACTTGGTGAGGGGCAGTGGCCTCCGTGTAGAACCATCTTGGCCACGGCGTCCCGAAACTCCGCCCCGGGCCGGCTGAGGCTGTCTGCGCCGCTAGGTAGTCCTCTGCATATGACTCAGGAGAGGGTTCTCCACGCGCAGCACTTCATGTAGGGTTTGGGGGGATGTGCCGGCTGCTTGTGGGCATGGCCAGACTTCGCGACCTTCAGCTCAACCAGGGACAGGAACCCATCGCCATCCTTACCAGACACACCGAAGTTACTTCACCTCTAGTCAGTCACTTTTCTCTGGCCATGCCACATCATACCGCCAGAGGCGCAAGTTTCGGCTTTAGTTGTTGTTTGCCTTGACTAGCGACGGGAAGCCGACAAAACAAGTGCTGACGGAGTGGCTACGTCCAGCTCGGAAAAGAGCTGTGCGTGTTGGGATTCGATCACCTCTCTGCTCTCCGTTGCGTCGACAGCCTGCCGACGCGGGGTGTCCCGCTGCAAGGTGAAAGAGAGCCTCTAAACCAAAACAAAAGCCCAACGTTCCAGGGTTCCTCGCACACAGTCTCGAAGATTCTCTGCAAGTGGCGCAACAGATGCTCATAAATAAGCCCATATATATATATATATATATATATATATATATATATGCTGACCCGCCTTGGGAGCCTTCAGTGTGGCGAAGGAGTGCCAGAGATCAAGGCAGTGGCCCTCGTAGTAAAGGTGTGACATTGCATGAGTCGGAAGGAAAGCTCGGAAGTAGCCTCGGCGACTATCAGGCATGGGCAATGACCATCGATGGCCGAGCGAGAAACGTGAGGCTCAACTCAGCTCACTCTACACTCCAAGCATATATGTTCGGGACTTGTTTCTGAGCCGCTGCATTGCCTGTTTCGTGGCTTCCGCTTTTCCTGATTCCCTCCGAAATTTCTGCTCGTTAGCTGCCGAAGCAAGCTAGCAGCTAGAACAAAGTCATTGCAGAGCGCAGACATCACAAAAGATCCTCAATTCGCAAAGCAGGGCCCGACTGGGAGAAAGGCCATCGATCCCTCCCTTTGCCCTGGCGAACATCATTCCTGGGAGAGCGTCTCGGAGCTTCTTGGAGGGAGTCGCTTGTGTTCAATGTGGTACAGGTAGCCAGGTAGCCACTGTCTTCACCTGGCGACGACTCGACGGCGCAGCCCTTGCGGACGCCACTTCGCCCATGCGCTTCCGTGTTCGCGGATCGTCCAGCGCACGCTCCCTCCCGGCGCGCACTCTCGAAGGCAGACCTCGCAGCGGCCTTGAACTGTAAACATTCAATATCGGCCGGTCGTCATTTCCAGTGGTCAACCACTTTACCATACACGTGCTCCAAGGTACAAGTGCCGTTCTCCCAACCATGGATGTTGCTTATTGTGTACTCGTACTCGTCTTTACCTCCCACGAACGTCTTCTTCTTGACCATGTGGCCCCAGTATCGGCCCTTGATCTGGCAAAACACAATGTCCTTCTCTTTGATGTCTTCGTGCTTACGAACAGGCACGTACCTGCAGCACTCCCCACTTTTAATCCGCGGGTGCAAGCTGTTCCCAGATCCACGGAACTCGACAGTCTCTCCTGCCTGTAGCCTAGCTCGCCAGGCAGCATTTCCCGTCAGCTTGGCTCCAACTGTTTCCACCACGTCCGCATCAAAAACGCCATCAGCCGCGCTATCAGCGGATTCACCTGCAGCTCGGTGAGCATTTGCCCACTCCAGCAAGCGCTTGCCGAAGAAGGGCCACTCGGACAAGCCCAATACCAGCTGCGCGTTAACCCAGTCTGACAGGTCACGGAGGGCATCCACACCATCCACACTGATGTGCAGCTCGTCGCCTACATCGCCTATCTCAGCGGCTACCCCCAGCTCCCCATGTACGTAAATCTGCGCGGCGTGCTTTTGGAAGCCAGCAGCTAAAAGAGATGCAGAGATCTCATCGGCCTTGGGTCTGCACTTTGCACCAAGATGTCTTTTTTACATGAACACACATGAGTCACAGAGTCACACATGAATCACGTGAACTCTCACCTAGTATCACCTTTGGCTTGGCACATCGTGCAAGCAAGGCACAGCACCCCGCTGCAGCTGGATGATTGCTGAAACGGGAACAGGCTGATCTGCCTCGTTGGCCTCTGCCAGAGCTGCTTCCTCTCTGCCTGTGGGCTGTTCCTTCTGAAAGGCTTCGAAGAATCGAAGCGCGAGAGTGGCTCCATGTTCTTCACCTGGGATGAAGTCACGAAGAAACTCCTGACACATCTCTCCGGCTTTGCCTCGCTCACACGAAGGCGCATCCAGAAGGAGCACGGGCGGTGAGCGGGAAGGATAGTCCGCTGGCAGCTGAATGGTCAGTTCCGCATGGGCGTCGGTACACCGCAGGATCCACTCGAAGGGACCTATTTCAAAGAAGTCGTCCCCAAACATGGCAGCCAGAGCCTCTGCTTCATCGCGCCGGCGGGCGGCGTCGTCGGCCATGAGAAGGCAAGGGCGGCTCTGTTGATGCTAGAGGACCGAAGCAGCATGTCCTACCCTTGAAACAGCTGGATACAGACTCGGGTGTGCTTCCTGGAGCCAAAAGTTAGGGTTTAGGGTTTAGGGTTTAGGGTTTAGGGTTTAGGGTTTAGGGTTTAGGGCCTAGGGTTTAGGGTTTAGAACCCTAAACCCTAAACCCCAAAATCCCGAAGCCGTAGCGGCCATCGCCGCATTGTTGCTTAGTTGCTGAGGAGGAGCGAGCGGGAACTGGAAGCTGTAGCTGGAAGGTTGTGGCCTCAGGCTTTGTGTTATATGTTAATATTTATATGTTAATATATTTATATGTTCGTATATCTATATGTTAATATATTCGTAAGATACTTTATGAATGTATTATTGCATTATTATTTTATATTATATGTCTTAAACAGAAGGTGACAACAAACACACTTGTCTCTGTGCGCTCCTGGTCCCTGGAAATTCGGCACGCCGACGCGTTCAGCATAAGGGCCTTGCCACAGTGCACTCCGGGTTCCCATCTTCGGGGACTCGCGTCTCGTGGAAGAGGTTCGGAAAGAAAACAATGGCCTGTGCGATGTTCTGCGACAGCATACAACTCCCAACTCTCCCAAAGCGTCCGCATCATCCAAGCCACCTCGCCCTGCTCGACGGTGGCTTCCCACAGCGGATCCCACAGCTTCGTGCGGTAAATCCTTGGCTTCTGGAGTTGTGCATCCCTTGGGCTTGTTGTGTGGGGTAACAGCCCTCACATCTGCTGTACTGGCTTCGGGAAACACCTCCCGAAATCTTCTCTGAGACCAGCTCCCTCCATCATGAGAATCAGGAGCTCGCCGAGACACGTTGACATGTGGGTGGGGCATGAGACGCCAATGCCTTGGCTGAACGCTCTGAAGCTTGTGCATAGCAGCTGCTCGTACACCAAAACACTGGAATGCCAAGATAGTGCTGAGGAACTTGCGCCCAGTCAGCTGCAAGGACACTGCAGGGATGCAGTAAGTGTCCTGCAGAAGTGATCTGCTGCAAAAAGCCAAGTTGGGCTCACGTGGAGAAGGATGGACTCACCGGATACCAGTGACATGGCAGGCTCCTATTACTTAAGAATTGCTGTTACTTAAGAACTGTTTGGTAATCCCTCTGTGGGCAAGAACACCGAAGGGGTCCGCGTGCGCAAGCACGGAGCCATTGCGGCGATGGAACCAGAACCTCACGCTTCAGGCACACATGGTGGATCATGGGCGCAGAGAGAATATTCAGGTCCTCCAAAGGGTCTCCGAGCGAGCCCTTCTCTCACCACAACTTTTGACACTTGTCTCGCGAAGCTGACTCGAAAACAATGGCTCGGGTAAAGAGCACAGCATCCTAACATTCACCGATAGCTTGCATGCAGCTTGCATAAACCCTAAACCCTAAACCCTAAACCCTAAACCCTAAACTAAACCTCAACTCGCACAAGCAGCCGCGCGGCTCGGCCGACTCATTGGCTTCGCGCAAGTTCGTGGCACCCCTTACGAAGTACGGCGGCTGCCACGCCTGGACTGCAACAACTCTTGCCAGGTTGTTGCCATCTCTGAGTCGCAGCTCCCCTCACACACATTCCCACTGATGTCTCCCAGCTTCAGTCATGTTCCATCCACAATGAATCAACGAATATCAACGACGAACAGGTCTGGCAGTTTCCCAACCCAGCCTTAAACTTAAACATATACTACTATACTCATGTACTCATATACTCATATACTAATATGCTAATATTCTAATTAATCCCGAGTTGACTGCCAGGCACTCGCTGCACGGCCGCGCGGACGTCTGGCGGCGCCTCGTGGCCGCCATCCTTCGCACCATTTGCTGCCGGTAGACAAGCCCAATACGCCTTAATGCAGGAAGCGACCTTAAATCATACTAAGGAATCTAAGGATCCCCGTATCATTTAAAGTCTGTTCCTTATTACTAGAACTCGACCAAACCCGAGATGTGCGATGCATGCAAGCCCGGGTTTGGCAGGCATGAGCCTCACTTTTGAACCCAAACTGGACTGACTCGCTGGGAGGCTCAACCCTAAACCCTAAAACCTAAACCCTAACCCTGAGTCTTCAGGCAAAAGCTCTCCTTGACGTGCCACACATAGGGTGCGGTGGTCTGCTGTTGCGCTTCCTTCAAGGACGCTGATAGACTGTTTCCAAGGGTACCCTTGTTAAAGTTCCTTTAAAAGGATTGTAGCTGCCTATTTTCGGAAATCCCCAAATTAGAAAACTGCAGGCAGGAGCCTGCGACGGAATCCCTGCAGCCAAGGTGAAAGCCGGCCTTGCTCTTCTTCTTCTTCGCCCCTGCTTGGCGCCGATCCTCCGAAAACCAAGCCTTGCTCCCCAGTGAGATGAACTTCTCGGGCCTGGAAGGGTGGAGCATGCAGCTGGCGCGCAGATGGGACAGGCAGAAGATCCCCACAAGCAGCGGACCAGCCTGTCACTGCCAGTATACTCCGCCCGCATCTGCGCCTTGGGAAAGCGCTGATGGAAGAGTTCGCAGCTGGCACCTGCCAAGTCAATGCCGCGACCTGGCGCGAGTGCTTGTAAGATCTTGTAAGGACGGCTATCAGGTGGCAAGAGGGAAGCATAGGGAAGCTGCACGTTCCTGTCCACGCACTTCAGGGCGGATGAGGAGGGTCATGGGATCTGAGCAGCCGATTCTGGTAATTCACTACTGGCAACTTCTCTGTGCGACCCGTTGCGCCTGCATCCGCGATGATGAAGGGACGACCCAAGCGGACACGTGCATCGAACTCATCTGCTGTCACCTGCTGCAAGCCGCCGCCGAGGGCAAAAGCGAAACTGCAGACTCCCCATGACAGGCAGATAGACACAGCCATTATTATCATTCTCTCTATACTATCCTTATCATCATTATCTTTCAATGTTGGTAGAATCATTCTCAGTACAGTACGACTTGTATCATTTTTACTCGGCGACCACCTCGCGCACGCGCTCCACCGGCTGCGGCTTCCCCTCCAGGCCGAAGAACGCGGCCACGCTGGGCTCACCGAGCGGCGACAAGTCTGGCAGGGTTGGGGGCAACACCTCAGTAGGGGAGAAAGGATTAGGGGAGACCCTTGGGGGATATAGACCCTCTGAATAAGGTCCACTGTTCAAGAGAGCCAGAAGGCGGTTGAGAAGGGTTCCCTTTGAAGGGCCCCCCCTATCCTACCCAGGATCAGCGACCTTGGCCTGGCTGACTGTGCCGGCCAGAATGGCAAGGCGAAGTGCCATGGCTCACTGCCTTGCCCTTGCATCTCCTTGTTCTGAACCTATAGGGTTTGGGGTTTAGGGTTTATAGGGTTAGGGGTCACATGATGTACATTGGAAGCCATGATCCCAAAAAAGAGTCTTGCTGAAATCGCGGCAGCGGGCGCAGTCACCGTCACGGTCGACATCCTTTGATGCGTGCTCTGGCGGCCATACCCAAAACCCGAAACCCCTTAATCCCCAAACCCTAAACCCTGAATCCCTGAATGCCTAAATCCCCTTTTTAACCCAGGAAGGACTGCTGAGGCTCCGTAAATCCCTAAACCCTGAATCCCCAGCATGCCTTGCCCGCGCCTCTTTTTTCGCACAGCGGGGCTTCGGTTCTCCAATGCCCCGGAATCGAGGGAAGAAGAGCAGGGTGCCAGCAAGAGGGGGTTAAGGTTTAGGGTTTGGGGTAAGTCCACTCTGGCCCAAGATGGCAATCAAGTTGGCCCAACAATGGCCCAACATTATGTTGCACACCCTGCCCTTCGGAACATCTACGAGCGCTAGAAAGAGTTGCGGAGCACGACCAGTACCGGCAGAGAAGTCTCCCAGCCACACTGCATCATGACTGAGAGGCATCAATCAGTGGATTACCCACATGCCGAGAAAATTGCAGTCAAAACCGACTCAGCGTGCAATGCAATCGTGTCGAATTGCTCTGAATTGCACCCTAAACCCTAAACACCCTAAACACCCTAAACACCCTAAACACCCTAAACACCCTAAACACCCTAAACACCCTAAACACCATAAACACCATAAACACCCTGAACACCCTAAACCCTGTTTGCGGCTAGGACTTGCTATCCAGCAACATCGCCCCAGCCCCCTCCTGGATTCGAGCTCGGGTCCTTCCGGTTTCAAGGGGATCCTCTCGCCCATCGAGCCAGGGGGCTGGGTAAGACGGGGGGTGGGGGTTTAGGGTGTCAAACCCTAAACCCCTTCGTAGCCACTTCTGAGGCTCTGAGCCCCCCCTGGAGAGTGCGCACCTGTGCACACAGCACATCGATGCAGCCGGTTCAGTCTCTCAGCTTGGTCCACGTGATGGTGCCTCGAGAGGAGAAGGTTCCCCACACAGGGATACCCCTTGTAGAGCCCAAAATACAATAACCCATAATTATTCTCGGAACCCCCAAAAAAAGAGTACCCTATTTTCGGAGACTCCCGCATCACGTCAACCGCTTCACTCTCTCCTTTCCCTCCCTCGCCGAGATCGCATGCAGCGGCCTTTCTTCGTCTCGTGGCGCAGTGGTTGGCAGTACCTTGCCTTGCGCCATTTGCATTGCGCGTCCCCAATCAGTGACGTAGTCGTAGTTGTGTGCTGCATCGGGGTGATCCAAACTCCCTAAACCTAAACCCTAAACCCTTCTTTTGGTCCCAAAGAGCTCACAACCCAGATCAACCCCCCGAGGAGGAAATCTCTGAGATGCCAACGGCTCTTTTCAGCACCCAAGCATAAAGCCTGGAGATGAAAGCACCGCAGTTTGGGGTTCAGGGGTCATGGTTTAGGGTGGTTTAGGGTTTAGGGTTTAGGGTTTAGGGTTTAGGGTTTAGGGTTCAGGCTATAAAGTTCCAAGCCGCACTCCCATCCACCAGCCCATGGCAGAAACTCAGGCTAGAACGTAGTGTAGCCAATCTTCCTCACATCCGCTGGGCGGCCTCATTTTCGTGGAAAATCTTACAGGTGCAAACTTCAGCATATCTGGAACGTGAACTGGAGCAGAAAGCGATTCGATAGTGTTAGATTTAGTCAACTTAGTCGCCTGCTTCACGGTGCTTGATTCTTGCTGTTCGCATGGACCAGATTTGACCAGTGCTCTAAGAGTCCGTCAGCGGTGCTTCTTGAACGTGCTGGACAAGCTCTTGACTTGTGACTTCATTACCCAGCCTCAGCCCAAAAGCACAAGCCAACGAAGTCTCTCTCAGTTCTTTCTGTTCATCTCAAGAACGGCACTGAAGACCGAGAAAGCAACGTCCGTTCACGCGCCGGCCCAGGGGAATGCAGTCGATCAGCTCAGCCTTTCCGACCATCTTCCCGGAACCAACCTGCAGAAACAGCTCTCAAAATCTTGGCTGCTGGGTGGGGGCACTCTGCCAAGTCTGCCCACACACAAAGACAGCACAAAGATCAAACCATGTTCAAACAGTCTGTTTAGTGGCGGAAGCGGGTGGAATAGCCGACCAGCGAATGCACTGCACCAACATTGTTGGGAGTGGAAAATTTTAAACACATGCAGCTACTTGAATTCCGTGAGCGCCAACCGGGTCAACAGTGACAAGCGCACACAATGGACAAACACCCTGGTGCTTCCTCTATAAAACGATTGCCCTCGACATAGATCGTTGAAACGTTGGTGCCTCCAGCCAATTTGCAGGGTACCAAAGATCACCAGATTGGCGCCGAAAATTTACTGCAGGCTGACACCTAGGCCTAGTCTCTGCTAGCTGGAAATTAACGGCATGCGTTGCGGTCATGTTGAAGGTGTCCAGCCTACTAGCCGTCGCGATCAGCCGGGTGGAAAACAACATGCGAGTGCTCAGACATGCTCAGGTGCTATTAATCCGAATAATATCTAAAAAATTAATCATATTAATACGAAGAAAATATTACTAGTAATGATATTAATAATATTAATAGGGCCGCGGAAGCCCACATCAGCCTCACTTGGCGTCTGAATCGGAGTCTGCTTGGGGCGGCGGCAGCTCCTCCACCGGGAATGACGGAGCCCGGCTGGCGCAGGTCTTCACGACTTTGCCTGAGGCCCGCAGAATGGCGCCGCTAGCACTCTTTCTGTTGCTATTTTGGAGCCCCTTCTGACTTCTCTGCACAAGCCCCGGCGCTGCCTTTCAGGGGTCCCGCCGGAATGCGCCTGCCGGCGGGCTCGAGGCCAGCCACGCGCTCGAAAACTTGGCGCCGGAGAAGATCCCGGAAGGGATCCTGGAGGCCCCAATTGAAACACCAACTGGCCGAACCCTGTGCTCCCTCCTTTTGGGCGGAATGCGCCTCCAGGCGTGCCCGCTGAAGCCACTCCATCTCCTGCGTCGATGCGCGATGGCACAAGTTCCCTGCACAACCGTTGCCCAGCATGCATCCTACTCGCGTGTGATACTCGTTTCCTCTTCCGAGGTCCGAGGACAGAATGTGCAACTTCCCGGGGTCGGCCGTTATATGGCGGCTTATGAGCTTACAAATAGGGCAGCTGTGCTAGTAGCCTCTCTTGGGGAACTACTTGTAGCCCTAGACCCTAAACCCTAAACCCTTTTTTGAACCCTAAACCCTAAACCCTAAACCGCAGGTTGCGAATGTGCGATTCCGAAGCACGAGAGGTCCGGAAGGCCGGCACAGACGTCTTCGGTGCTCCCAGCATGGAGGCACTCTTTGCACCCTAAACCCTTTTGCATCCGGGCTAAACCCTAAACCCTAAACCCTAAACCCTAAACCCTTTTGCAGCAGGCTTGCGTAAGTCCTCGCCTGGATCAGGCTATCGCTCTCCACCCTAAACCCTAAACCCTAAACCCTAAACCCTAAACCCTAAACCCTAAACCCTAAACCCTAAACCCTAAACCCTAAACCGCACGGCATGCCAAAAGCGTCCCATGTCAGGGTAGGTACATGGTGCCCTTAAATGGGTACCCCTTATGTACCCTATGCAAATTTAAGGGATCATACATCAGAACGTTAGGGACCATGCTAAGGGCCCCTGAAACTACCCTCAGGTCAAAAAACACGCCGGCAGCCAAGAGCTAAGTTTTGCGAAGCGCTTTTTGTTGCTGCCTGAGTTCGGGGCTTCTACACAACGAATGTGTCAACGCATTCCAGGTATGCATCCCGTGGAAGTTTCCAATTGCGAGAGATCGCTGCACTCGGAAACCCCCTCACTTGATGCTGTTGCTTTGTAAGTTTTCACTGTTTAAGCACCACGCGTCTCAAGACCTGGTAGTTCGCTGGTTCGAGATGCGATGTTCGGGCCCTGTTCCTGATTCTGGGCACTAGCTGCAGCCAGCTACCAGCACATAGCACTGCCCGAAACCCTACACCCCCAAACTACCATGCCCTATTTACGCCCTGAACCCAAAGGCTGTTCTCCTGTTCTACGGCTTGGCGAATGTCTGCGTAGGCCTTGTCACAGGCGCTTCGGTCCTGCCACCACCGCCAGCACATCAAAAAGACGATTGTCGCAGAGAGGGTGTCTATATCTATATACACTGTTACTTCATCTATAACTTTGTGGATCTAAGTACGTCTATATTCGTGCTTATGTTTGTTTGTTTATGTTTAGCTTCTATGCATATACGACCTTATGAACAATGACGTATAAGCAGCAGTAGCCCGCCGCCCCCCACAGTCGCCTTCGGGTTCACCTCCTTCAAGTCAACCGGCTTGCCGAAGCCTGCGGGTGGCCAAATCTTTTGGTTCGAGACAAAAAGGGGCTTTAAAGAGGCTTAGGGTTTCGGGTTTGGGTTTGTTTTCTTTTTAGGGTTTAGGGTTTTAGGGTTTAGGATGACAGTGGAGGCTGCATGATTATGTCTCATAAGATGCCGCCATTGATTACCAACCAAATGTCGTGTTGAATGTCAACCTTATATCGCTTTTACCGTGTGAGCGTGAAGGCATTTGAGGCCTACGAAGAACTGAAGAGAGTTGAAACGACGACTGCCAAGCCGAGTTTCTGAAGTAAAAGCGGTCCCCGATACCCGGACTAGACTGGGTTGCCAGCGACAGCGGCGGTGCCAAGAAGGGCACACTCGTGCCTGCCTCCTGAGATGCTGTGCGCCCAACGACACCCGACGCACACACGAGCGCGCATGAAGATCAGCCTCTTACTTCGGAAAGGTTTCGAAAGCCAAGGTTCCAGGGACTCTGACACTGGCATGAGGCCACCAGACTTCGGCTGGCTCCGAGCCATGAACGGCAGCAGCTCCTCTGCTCTGCTTCGGAGCTCCCTGGAGTTGCCCAGAACCTGGACATTGTCATCGGCCCCGATTCCACCAAAGGGCACCACCACAGCATCAAATCGGGCTGCTACTCGGACAAAGTCCGTCTTGCTCTGCCAGAAGAGCGTGTATTCCTCCCCTGGGCCATGTAGAGCCTCGCGGACCCCACCTGGGAACAGAAGCACCATCTCCCCTTGCTGGAGGAGCTTGAAGATATTCCGAGGGGAAACAGGGACCGCGCCGAAGGTCTGGAACTGCGAAGGGCCTCTCTGGCTCATGCGGCGCATGGCACCGGGGTAGGCCAGGCCTCTGGCAACCACGCCCCTGGCCACCAGAAACTCGCGCACCAGCGGCCCAAGGTCGAGGCCTGCAATCTGGTGGTTTCCCACCAGGAGCACCGGGCGCTGACCGACCTCAGCCGGGGTGGGCACCCCATCCAAGCCGAAGGAGCGTCGCGAGGGGGAAGCGGCGTCAAAGCTGCAGAACACAGGCGAGACCACCGAGGCGAGTCTCTCCACGTCCTTGGAGCCAGCTTCCAGCTCATCCAGGCTCGGGCATTCGAAGCCTGAGATCGGGTCCTTGTACGCGTAGATCGGAGACTCCCGCAGGACTTTTGCAAAGTCGAGGTCGCTGGCTAGGGGCTCGTGGCTGCGGCTTTCCAGCTCCTTGACCTGCAACCTGCCTGTCAAGCAGCGCTCCTGCAGCAAAGGCGTGAGCTCCTCTGCTTCAGCCAGAGAAGGCAGGAGCGTATCATCCTTGGACACGGCCAAGAGCGTCGCTGGCAAAGAGCATCGGAAGGCTGGCCGCCGCAAGTCACAGGACACAGCTTCCCAGCCGTCCCGAAGCCAAGCCCTAAGCCGAAAGTCCAGCGTCCCACTCCGTGCAGCCAGGGAAGCTGACCGAAAGCCTGCTGCACTTGTGGCTGCCTTGACAACAAGATCTCCCAGCCCCGCCTCGAAGGTCGCTTGGCCTCCAAAAGCCGGGGCCCCTTTCAAAAGCTCCACCAGCGGCTTCACAGGAACCGGACCGAGACTTTGCCAGGGCTTTTGCGCCAGACCAGTGGAGGGGTTCACGAGCACCAGCCCCTTCAACGCACGACCAAGGCGGAGGGCGGCCGCCAGAGCCAGCAGACCCCCGAAGCCATCGCCAAGCAGCACGACCTTGCGGTTGCGCGCGATCTGCCCGCGCAGCCACTCCTCCACCCCTTGGGCCAGCTCAGCGAAGCCGGTCTTCCGGTCGCTCTTGGGAAGAAAGCAGCGCCAGAGCCTCAGAAGCAGCCCCTCCTCTACGATCCTCTACGGCTCTATGCCTGACGACACTCTGGCAAACGAGCTGAAGGTGCGGGCGTGAGTGTGTGCAAGGATTGAGGGCGCCGCTCGAAGCCGCCATCCACAAGGCCAGGGAATTGCACAGCTGGCACCGTTGCTGTGAAGTCGATGTCGGGAAGATACCTCAGAAGACACTTCCGTAGCGGCCACAAGCGAGCCCCTGTGTACCCACTCAAGCCTCAGATCCTGAAAGTGCTTCGCACCACATCTTCTAATGCTGAGCCACAGAAGGATGTCACCTTCTCCCTCCGCAGGCCCTCCGACGAGGTCGAAGCCAAGGGGACCCTCTGCCGTATCTGTTGCGATTGATGGGTTGGCCGCTCCATTGCGAAGCGCGGCCGCCCACTCGGGCTGCAGAACACCTGCCAAGGAATGGCCCACTTCTCCCATTCAGCCAGCCATGCATCACGTGTTGAAAGTGCCACTGCCTCCAGAGCGCCCCACAGCAGCAAGCACCACCTTCAGCAACGAAAGCAAACTCGGGTGCCTCGCTCTCTGCTGATAGCACAAGTAAGCAGAGCACCCGAAAGCACCTTGTTGGCTTGCCGAGTTTGCCGGGTCCGGGCTCGCCAAGCTCCAGCCGACGCCACCGCCAAGACGCTGAAACTGGGAAGAGCAAGCTGCCGGCACTGCCTGTGGCCGAAAACCTTATGCCCGCTGTGTGAGAACTGGCGGCTTTGTCCAGAATGTCCTGGCAACACTTGCCAGGACGAAAGAAGTGGATGTTGGCACGAAGCTGGGCTGGCAATGCACGTCCCAAATCCACTACCATTTCTAGAACGACCTCGACGACGCTTGTGCCGACAAAAGTCCGACGACCGCAACCCTACCATGACTGACTGCGAGGACCACGGCGACGACAAGAACAACAACCACATCAAGTGCAGTGTGTGGATTATGCTGCCCAACCCCGTGGCATCCCCTGAATAAAGTTTGCCAGACCGAAAGGGGTTGACCTTTGGGTGCAACAGCGAGGAGGGCGACGAAATGCGAGGAGCTGGACCACCCCTGATTTGTTCAGCCGCGGCTCGGCTGCGTAGCGCGACGCTTGGGGTCACCTGCATGGGTCCAGTGGCCATGGCCGCCATGGCCCGGCGCAGCTACAAGCTGCCGAATGCTCAGCCAAGCAGCTCCAACCCCAGGCACCCATTCAGGGGGTGTCGCCCTAAACCCTAAACCCCAAACCCCAAATCCTAAACTTTCGGGACCGAAAGGTGTCGAATGCCATGGGAACCCGCGGGCTCATGATGGCCTCGATGAGGCCGATGTATCCCCGGATGTTGGTGGGCCGATTCCTGGCCCGGGCTCTTACGTAGGCACTATGTATTTATGTATGTATGTATATATATATATATATGTATATATTAAACACATATTATACATGTTACATATATGTATATATGTATGGATATATTCTGAGGTGCTGTGTCAGAATTGTGCCAAAGCTGAACTGGGCTTCAACATCGCGCCTCAATTCCCAGGTTTTCTGCTTTTTGAGGATCTTGCCCTCGGCGTATACGGGCTCCCGACACTCAAATTCCATTCCTAGACCAAGAGCATTCGGGGTAGGGTTTAGGGCTTAGGGTAGACTCCCGAAAAAGCAAACTTCATGCTGAGAGCTGGACGAGCCACCTAGGCTGCGAATGCGCTGGCTCCACCCCTCTTGGAGTGTCTTGGAGGCTATGTTGGGGCCCTCTTGGAGGGTCTTGGAGGCTATGCTGACCCGCCAGACACTTTCCAGACACCTCCCAGACAGCTCAGACGCTTCAGTGAGCTGTGTATTAGACTTGCTGCACTTGCCAACAAACCATGCACCCTAAACCCTAAACCCCAAACCCCAAACCCTAAACCCTAAACCCTAAACCCTAAACCCTAAACCCTAAACCCTAAACCCTAAACCCTAAACCCTAAACCCTAAACCCTAAACCCTAAACCTTACTTCCTATTGCCATCAGGCTCATAGTGCGCACAAGCAGCGGCTGTCGGACGAGCAGAGCACGTTTTGGTGCAGGCTTCCGACGTGACAGCACCTCCAAGGATTGGACATAGGGTTTAGGGTGAACCCAGGAGAACTCCCAAACTCTCTGCTCAACTAGCAGCTCAACGGCTCTCGAAACCCTCAGAGATCTCGTGTATCTCCCCCATCCCATTTTTTGGAACAAGTTGGGGGATGTTGTATGGAGAACCGACATTCCGCTAGTGGGGCTGGTTCTCGCAAGAGGTCTTCTCAGGGACTGGGAACCTTCAGAAATGTTGTAAGGAATTGTTTCTGCCAGCCGTCTAGCAACTGCTGCACGGGGCTACTGATTGGATGTTCAGGTGCAGGAATTAGCTTCCGTAGTATTACATGTTCAGAAGGCCCTGTGCAGGTTCGGGCCGGGGGCGCACAACGTTTGCAATCACAATGCTTATACTTGACCACTTCTTGAGAACAAGCTTTAATTGTCCTTGGTTTTGCAAGAACGGTCTGGTAGACTCCCACCTTTTTGGCCTTGCGCGTGCGCTGGGCCGCCGAAGAGCATGCGGTCCTGTACTGATTCAGGGCTTGCAGGGCTTGCTTATGTTTTTATAGTCGAACAGCGAACCGGTTGAGTATAAGCTTAGGGCGTCAAGGGCAACAGCCCAGAAACTCAGCAAGTCCTCTTGGAGGTTTTGGATGCCTTGCCTGGGCTCGAACTGCATGGCGCTGTCTTCAGTCATCTACGACGTTTCTGCCATACATGCCCTTTTTGCCCTAAAGAGCCGGAAAGGATCACGTGTCACTTTGGGCCGCCGGCTCTTTTGAGGTGCCATGGCTGCCAGCGCGGCGGGCTAGAAAGAAGCGGTTGCGGCCAATGACTCACGCATGTCTCACGTACCCGTGCCGAGCACTTACAACTTGCGTACGCTTTTTGTAGCTATCGGGGGTTGGCCAGGTCGCCCTTTTCAGACAAAGCGATGTAATCTCGCTGGCAGAATAAGCTGGTAGCTTCTAAGCTTTCTGGTCTTGCCTCGGGCTGAAACCTGCGGCTTCACCAGGTCTTCACTCAATGTTGCAGCTCGCTGTCTGAAGGCACATGGCATGGAGCCAGGGCACCGGCGTCGCTTCGGCAACTGCTTTTACAAACTTACAGCCCATTGCACACCAGCCGCCATTCACAAGTGGGCGACTAGGAGCCAGCAGGGCCGAACTGCTCCAAAAAACATCCAAACAGCTCCGAGCTCGGGGCTGCCATTTTACCGCCATAGGACTTGTTCTTCCGCAGGCCCGACCTCGCACAAAGGAGTCCAGCTGCAGTTCGAGATCGTGTCATTCCAGCTCCGGGCGCAGGGTGTCAGTTGTTAGCCACTATGTCTCCTTCATCGTGTTCTTTGAGTACTTTTTTTGTCTAGCGCCGAGCGCCACGCCAATGCGACCGCATCGTGACGGCCATCAGAAAGGTCGTGACAACCAGCCTCAACACTCTGACTCTATCTGCCTCTGATAACCTCGGCATGGAGGGGATGCACTGGAGGGGATGCACCCCAGTCTTGGCCCAGGGCGATACCAGCAAGCACGCTGCTGAAGGTACCTGCCAGGAACTTAACTGCAAGTGTGTTCTAGCGTTCTCTGTCCCCACTCGCACCTTTATCCGCGGGAGACTGGACCCATCCAGCGCAAAGTACAGCGACACCACCTGAATCCCTAAACCCTAAACCCTAAACCCTAAACCCTAAACCCTAAACCCCAAACCCTAAACCCTAAACCCTAAACCGTCGTTGGGAAGTGCACTCTGCCCATCGCACATCTGATTGCTCTCCCAAGTGTGTTCCTTCTCCCTCTTCTTCTGATGCTTTCTCACCCCTTCCCCACTGATTGAGAAGATGGCCTTCCACCCTGATGGCAGTGAGCCACCGCAAAAGGGAAAAGCAAAATTAGACAAGGAAAAAACTTACACTTATAAATCATCAAGAACTACATCAAGTAATGGTGATAAGTGTACATACATCATGAAATGAAATAGTTACAAATATAACAAGTACAATATTCATGTGTAATGTTTGGTGTCCAGACCAATTTGCACGTCGAAGTGGTGGTGAACCATGAAAGGTACAGATTAACCAGGATTCTTCGCAACTTTGGTCTGGAGTTGCAAGAGTCAGCACAGTTCTAACCTCCATTCGGCCACCTAGAATGGCTCTGGCCCGATGTTGAGTGCTGCACGTCACAAAAGCGCTGGGCAGTAATGCTGATGCCTCTCGAGGACAAGCCTGTTCAAGACTCCGAGCAATTCAGTAGGGGGTGGAGGGCGGGGGGGCTCGAGGGGGCGGGCGTGCCGGTCCCTGCTCGTCTCATGTCAGGGGAGGATATTGACGATGGACGCAACACATTCGCTAGCGAAAAATGTATGCTTGATCGAAAAGCGCACAAGCCTAAGACCCGCCACCATGATTGGCGAGTCGACTGCGCCGAGTGCGCCATGGGCGCCAGAAAGTCAAGTGCCCTTGGGCTCCATTGGACAGCAATCTTAATCTGGACTCGAATGTCATTACGAAAGCTTAAGCCTATAAGCCGGACGCCCCCATGTAAGAGCCATACTCCGTGGTTATAATCCTATGTGACATATGCGTCAATGGTACTGTGGTTGCACCATGTGCATCACCCAGGGTGGGCACCCTAAACCCTAAACCCTAAACCACTAAACCCTAAACCCTAAACCCTGAATGCTGGTGGTCTTTCTATCTTTCTACGTTGTTGAGCTCTTGTGCTCTGGTGGATCGAAGCTTAAAGCGGCGGCGGCCGTGCTTTGCTCGCACGCCTCAGGCTGTTTGGGGAAACCAGCACTCATCCCTGTCCCTAAAGCCTAAAGGTTCGGTTGCCATTTGCCATAAGCATGATGTTCCACTCAACTTCTTGACGTAACAATTCATGATGAAGGCGGGCAATACTGAGTCTCAACAACATGGAGGTCAGTTCCGCCTGATCTTTGTGCAAGCCATCAAAAGCATAGATCAATATGCTTTACACACCTGCCGCTTGTGAGCAGGTGGTGCAGCTGACGATCAGACCTTACAAGCTCTCTTTCGCGAGGCTCTGCCTCACATTCTTGCCTTTGAAGTTCTCCGGTGTCCAGAAAACCTCGCGGCTTCTCAACCCCAACAGACCCTTGGGTGCCTGGCGGCAAGTGCAAGCTCGAGTCTACTACTCCGCACAGCATTCCAGCCTCCGGGCCCACAGTCCTCAGCACAAACGTAGGGACTCTCACGTGCGTGCGGTATGAATGGACAAGAGTGAGAAGAGCTGGCAGGGGCTGGCTGCACTCTTCCTGCAAGAGCCAAGCAGCATGTTCGACGGCTGCACCAGGCTTGGGTCTGCTGGACCTTGTTTGGCCGCCATTCCCAGACCTCTGAGCTTTCATGATCTAGGAACTATTCCACAACTCGCCAGTGCAGTGGTAGTTTGATTCATGCTCGCTGCAACTGCACCGGCTTCAGTTGAGAGAGACCGCAGGTTCACCTTATGAGGCGACTGGCAGGCTTCCGAGCACAGCGCTGCTTAGCAACCTTGCAGAGGCGCCACGGTCTGTCCTAAGCCCGAGCAGTACTTGAGTTTTATCCCTACTCATTACCGCGCCGGCTTGAGGAACTGGGATCAGCCTTCTGCAACAAACTTCGCAACATGCGTTTTGATGCCAGCTCACGGCTCAAGTGTCTCGTCTTGGTTTCGGTGGCTGATATCAAAAAACACATATGCTTGTATTCGTGTACTCTCAGAATATTATTTGAAGTAAGGTCTGGGCAGTCCCTGCTCGAGAATCTTCTCTTGCTCCGGGGTCAGTTCCTTGAGTCGAGTGAGCTCCCGCCCAGACCTTCCCCCCCTTTTTTGAACCCGATCATATTTGTAATAATGATAGTAATAACATTATTCATAATAGTAAGATGTGCCCTTTTTGAATCCGAAACACTGGACAGCATCTGATCATCTTCAATGCGGAGGATCAGTCAAGTCACGACAAAAACTGGCAACCTTCCTGTAACCTTCACGGTCACACTCATGGAGTATGTCGAGGGAGTCATACTCTGACCCCGAAACATGTCCCCCTAAGAGGGTTCGCTCCATTTACTCTTAATATGGCCCTTCTATCCCCGCGGCGCCTCAACGTCACTATCTTCGCCGCCTTGCGCCGCAAGCTCCTGGATGCAAGGCTTTGCACCGATGCATTGCTGAGACTAGAAAATATTGGGGGGGGTTCCGAAATTGGGGGTACCTTCCTGGGGTCCTTGTTATAAGGCTATAAGGGGATCCGATCTCGAAATCGGCGTACCTTTTTGGGGGGTCCTTAGTTCATGGGATCCTGGATCCGACTATTTGGGGATTTTCGTAAACCCCCCATGTCAGCCAAGTCCTCATCAGAAGAATCGGGCCCGGCGGCCTCTGGCGCTGTCTTTGGCGCCTGGGGGTCTGGGATGCCAGCGGGGGCAGCACCTCGGTGACTCACATGGGCTGTTGCAAAAAGATACGTTACAAGTAATTGCAGGAAGGCCCATAGTAACCATCACAATCTTCCATCACACCCCCTCCCCCTCTCCCTACGGAGCCCCCCCATCTCTCCCTACGTAGCTAGGCACTCTGCATTGCTACTGCTGCTAGTCTTCCAGGCTTTTGGACGTCTTCAGCTCCTCCCAAGAGAGCGATGCTCAGATCCCTGCAAACTCCACGCAAGCCTGCGAAGAGCGACCGTTCACGCTTGCGCTGCTCGGCCTCCCAAGCCAAAGGGTTTAAGGCTTTAGAGGTTTCGGGGTTTGGGGGCTTGAGGGTTTCCACCTCTTGCGCCTTCAGCTGCGTCCTGAAGAACCAGGCAAGGCTCATTTCGAAATTGTCGAAATCGCGCCCAGAACGCCAGGCTGAGCCGCCGGCAGCTTCTTCCGAGCATCCGGATTCTCTGGGTTCACCTGAGCCAGCGCTGTGTTCAACCTCCAGTTCAGGCACTGAGTGCCAGGACCTGTACAATTATTGCCACCCACCTAACTGACTGTCATCACTCCATCCAGGAGGGCTTCCTTCGACGCATTGACGAAGCACAGTGGGCACGCAGCAGCCTGCCTCCAACGAGAGCTTACAGCTGGCCATAGCCTTGGACACCTGACCAAAGTTCAGGGCTGAGGGATGGTTAGGGCCTTGGGATGTTTAGGTATATTTTAGGGTGGTGCCGATCCTTACCGACCGAAGTGCCCGACAGCGGGCCAGCACGGCCACTTCTTTTTTTTTAACAGGCCTATGCGGATCGGGAACCTGGATGCGAGTTTATGGGGCACCTACCAGTCGTTCGCAAGGGGCTGTTCTGAATCAGGGTCCCTCTTGAGGGTCCCAGTCCTGAAGTCCGTTGCCAAAGTACTTGGAAAACAACCCTCTGTTGCAAGAACCCGAACCCCGACTGTAAAACACGAAGACCGTCGAACCCTAAACCCTCGAACCCTAAGCCCTAGAACCCTAGAACCCTAGAACCCTAGAACCCTAGAACCCTAGAACCCTAGAACCCTAAACCCTAAACCCCAAACCCCAAACCCCAAACCCTAAACCCTAAACCCTAGAACCCTAAACCCCCAAACCCTCGAAGTCCCCGGGTTCGTTGGCCTCGCCAGCAGCTTCGAAGGCTTCGGCCTTGCGGTAGTGGACCTGGCATCCGGTTCCGAACTGCCTTTGGGTGACTACTTTTATTGCTTTTGCTGTTGTTACTATTGTTGTCATGGTTCGTTCTCTCTTCCTTCCTTCCTTCCACTGCACGTGGTCCCCCTGTGGGGGGGGGGGACCGCCCTAACGGGCGAGCTCCAGCGATCTGTCTGTGTGTGACACAACCGCGGTGTGGTGGGAGTCACTCCAGGAATGCAATGTGTGTTAGGTTGAGTAGTCTTGGAATGCACATACTGACAAGAGGGCATTCCTGCATGTGAACAGCTCCCTATGCTTGACACCGCAGTCAGGTTGCCCTGAGACCTTGCTCGGGCCTGTACGGAAGTGCGAGTGCTGTGGAGGTTACTCCCTGGTTGCAAACAAGATCCCACATGACTGTCTACCCAAGTGGAGCATACCAGAGATGTCCCTCCCTGTTCAGCACTAGGATTGCCCGAGTGGGGTTGGGGCCACAATGTCCTCCCTCGCATAACCAATCGACCTGGTGGATTACACTACCATAAGAACTCCCTGCAAGTCACCAGTGGTTCTCCCCTCACTCCTACTGGCCGGACTACATCGTTTCAAGCTGCCCGGAGACATTGCTCGGGCCCATACTGCCATGGTCCCATGGTCTGAGTGTTGTTCCCCATACAGCACTGGCTATGGGCTCAAACTGAGTTCGGGGTGCCGGTTGTTTGGGCGCTTCCCCCTCCCCCCTAATAGTTGTTCTTGCAGGATCAGGTGCACTGGCTCAGTGGGAGAAGGTTACGGGGTGACAACAGAACCAACACAACGCACTAGAAAGCTGGCAGTAAATTTTATTGTTCTCCCCTGACGTGTCCTGTGCCTTTGCCTTCGCCCCTTGGAGGTGGGTTTAGGGTTGGGGTAGAAACAAAGCAGTACTCCCATTACATGGTGGGTAAAGGTGAGGACTTGGGCTTGGCTGAGGCTCAGCTAGCGGGCTGCTTTCAGTCACTGCTGGCTCCGTCGTGTTCACGTCTTCTCCGGTGTTCGGGTAGACGGTGTGCTCGGCGGTGTTGATCCCCCGTCCACTCTGGTAGTTGGTGTTGTCCCTGGTCAGGTAGCCGTGGGTCTCCTCGTTGTTGGTGTCTCCCATGGTCATGTAGTCGGTGGTGTCCACGTTGTAGGTTGGTTTCCGTGGTCCCCGTCATCTGTGGTGTTGATGGCATGGTTGGTAGCTCTCCCGGTGTCGTCGAGGGTGGCCAAGGAATTGTAGGTGGTGTTGAGCTGGGTGGAGGGATGAGTGTCTCGGTCTCCCTGTGCACCATGGCTTCATGGAGGGTCTCGTGTGCTTCTCTGGCTGTGTGGGCTCGCACAATTACTTGCTCGAGCAAACCGGCCATGTGTTCTACCCTCATGCCTAGCGCGGTTTGGAGCGAGAGCTCGTTGAGGATTTGAATGGCCTCCTGACAGGCTCGTTCTCCCCTTTGTTGTGCTTCCGTTTCGGCTTTGGTGGGGGTGTGTTGTTCGTGTTGGTATAGCTGGTATGTGTGGCCTCGCCGGATCGCGGTGCGGAAGAGGGTGGCGATGGTCTGGAGGTCTTGTCTTCTCTCTTCCCTGGTTGTTCGTGGTTGTCCTGGTGATTGGTCTGCAAGGAGGTGGGCGAGGCGAATGCTTTCCTCCAGTTCTGGTGTTTCCAGTTCTGGCGTTGGTATGTGGTGTGCTTGGATTGGTGGGATGTTGTCGTGATCGTGTGTCATGGGGGCGTGGTCAATGGTGGTTGTTTCAGTGTGTGGTGGTGGTGGGGGTGGTGGTAGTGATGGTGTTTGGCTGTCGATCAGGACAGCGTCCTCGCTCTCCCAGTGCTGGCCCACCCATTGGTGGATATGCTGAATCGCCTGTGTGACCTGTGTTGCGGTCTGTTGCTCGAGAAACGGCATAGTTTCCCGAAGGAGACGCAGTGCTTGCACGAGTGGTTGTGGTGTGTTGTCGGTGGGGTTCGGCCGTGCTTCTGGGGCTCCTCGGGATAGGTGGATGACGTCCGCTGGGTGTGCCGGCACGGTGTGGTTTGCCTGTGAACTGCTGGCTTCGTGGTGGGGGTGCTGTTGCGTTGTTGGCGGTTGGCTCCACTGCGGGGCTCGGATCACCAATGTGTGTGCCCGTATCGCGGTGATGATCATGTGTGTTATGGCCTGGAGCTGGGGTGTCAATTGGGTGGTCGCGGGTGGTGTAGTGGATCACAGGGTCTGGGTGAGCTGTGTGACCAGGTGGTGGGCTTGTGTGGCTGCTTGTTCCCCCGTCCCCCAGGTTTGCCAGTCTGTGACAGCTTGGACTTGGTCCATGTGTTGGATGCCAAGTTCGATGAGGGCTGCTACCAGCTCGTATTGTTGGATTTGTTCCTGGGTGCCCATGTTGTCGTGGTGGTCCATTAGGTGTTGGAGTTGGTTGCGGGCTTCGTCGAGTTCGGTAGCTCTGTCTTGGCCTGGTAGTGTCGGTGGATTGCACTCATCTTCTTGCCTGGCGTTGGTGTGCCTGGAGGCGTGGACGGGGGTTGGTGCCGTGTGGGTTTGCTCGTGGCTGTTGGTGGCTGTACTGCGTCTGGCTTTCTTGTTGTCTGTTTGTGGTCCTGGGTGTGTGTGCTGGGGTGCTAGCCCGCTCGGCATGTCTGGGTCTGGGTCGCCTGCTTTGTGTTTGCGGGTTTGCATCATGTTGGTGTGGTCTGTCTCCCAGGCTTCGTCGGTGTAGTGTCGATGTGCCCCCCGGGGGTCGGGGTAAAAGGATTGGGCAGGCATTTGGGCCATGTGGTCATTGTTGCTGGGCGTGGTTGCTTCTGTCGGGCCAGCCATGGTGTCATGTGGATGGTGCAGTTGGTCCGTCACGGGTGGGTCTGAATGTTGTGTTGGTGGTGTCTGTGGGCGATCGGGTGTGTTGGTGGTTGTGTCGGAAGGGGCTTCTGGCGGGGTGCCCAGTGTTAGTTGTACCCATGACCCAGGGCTGACAGTCTGGTATGGTCCTCCTGAGAGGAGGTGGTGCGTGTGTGGGGGGGGGCCTGGTGGACGTGTAGGTACCATTGGTTGGACGTGGGATTTTCCTGGTACATGTAACCTGTCGTCCCCGGTGGTAGTGTGGGGGATAGTCCTGGTGGGCTGGATATGGATGGATGGTGTGGGGAGTGTGGTGTGGTTTGGACTTCAATCCACCAGCCGCCTTGGTGGGGTGTGAATGAGATTGTGGTGGTGGGATCTTGTGGGAGCTCTGGTGGTAGTGGGTCTGCGTAGGGGTTTGGGCCCTGTCCTTCCTGGGTTTGCTCCATTTCATACTGGGATGGTGGTGAAACGTCTGCTGCAGTCGTGTGGCTTCCGGTGTTGGTGGGCTGCTGCCTGGGTTGCTTGTGCCGGTTTAGCATCTCGCTCCAGTCGGTCTGGTCTTCGGTGCTGGGCGCTGAGCGGGTTTGGGTGTATGCAGTGATGTCGATCCACCGCTCTCCGGGTCTGCCCCCTGCCGGGTGTTTGCGGCGGCTGTATTCCCACGTGTATGCTTGGTACTGCTGCCGAATGGTCTGCTTGTCTCGGTGTGTGGTGTCGTCGGGTGGTGGTATGTATTGGTTGGCTCTGCGAAGCTCCTTCTTCATCTCGAATTTGGTGTCTTTGTTGTGTTGGCGAAGGGTGTGGTGTGGGTGGTGTGTGGGTCGGTGAATGGAGGTGTGCGACGGGTGTTGTGGGCTTCCCCCGTCTGATGTGTCGCCGGGGACCGGAGGTGGTGGTGCTTTGGGTTGGGTTGGGGTCGTTTGGGGGTGTTGTGCCACGGGTTGGTCTGCCGGTGTTGTGTTGGCTTGGTCTTGTGCTGCGGTGGGGGTGGACTGGTTATGGGGGGGTGTTGAGTTGGTGTCCGCTGTTCGTGATGGCTGGGTTGGTCGCTGTGGGGGTCGTGGTTCTGTCTGCTGATGGAGGGTCCAGCCATATTGGTTCTGGTTTGGCTGTGGGTTCTGGTGTGCACTGGACCAGGGTGCGTACGGATGTTGGTGCTGGTTATAGTCGTACCACGACCATTGGGATGCTTGCCAGCCACTTTGCCATCCGGCGTGCCATGGTTGCCATACTGGGGGGTCCACTGCCAATAGGTGGCTGCTGGGTGGTTGTGTGGTTGTGTTGGTGGTTCTTGCTGTGGGTGGGTGGGTGAGTCGCCTGGTGATGGGTCTTGGATGGGGTCAGCTGGGTGTGGCGGCTGTGTGGTAGTATCTTGGTCAGTGGTGCTGTTCGTGGTTGTACGGTCCCCAACCGGTTGTGGTGGGGTGATCGGTGTCGGTGGGTGTGTTTCTTCGAGGGGGGCCGTGGAGGTGGGTCTGAGCTGTTGCTCGCGTCTGGGAGGTGGTTCGGTGAGAGGTGCCTGTTCGTTGTTGGTTTGTGGTGTTGTGGTGCTTGGGTGTGGTGGTGATTGTGGTTCTGTTTTGGATTTGGCCAATCGGTGTTTGTGTAGTGCCGAGGCTGTGAATAGCTTTTGGGCTTTGGCGGCTATGATTGGCAGGTGGTGGAGCGCGACCACTCCATTCTGTGTCCATGCCCGGTGTTCTTCTGCAGTCATGCCTGGCACTATTGGTGTGTCCGGCGGAGATGGGTGAGTGATGGTGTACACGGGGGCAAAAGTGGGGGTGTCGTTGGGGAGGGTGTTGTCGGGCCAGTCGGCATCTTCTGGTGGACGGAGGCTGGGGTGGTGGAAGTACCGTTCGTGTTCTACCCAGGCGTCCATGATGGCCTGATGGTAGCTTTGCAGGTGGTCAGCTGGGCTATTCGCCGTATGGGTTGGGTGGTGGTTCGGTTGTTCGTCCTGGTCAGTGGGCGTGGTGGTGGTCGTGCTGCCTCCAGCGTCGCAGGTGGTGTCAGCGGCGGCAGTGTTAGTGGTGGTGGTGGTTGTGGTAGTGCTTCCGTCCTGGTTCTGGTCTGGATTCAGAGGGGGGGGGTGTGTGGAAATGACGTAGATGGAGACCTGTCGGGTGCGCAGCGCAGCTGGCTGGATGTGGATATGTACGCTGGATCCTGGTAGAA